CAAACAAAGAAAAAAAATCAGCGACAAAGAGCAATTTATAACAAAAAAAGAAAAGTAAAAAAACCCCATTGGGAACTGAATGATGGCTCAAGTGATCTTATGAAATGATCCATTTAAACGAACCGATTCTTTAAATGATTCGGAGCCCTCTACACTAAAGTAAGCGGTTTGTGCGTGCACAGCCAGAGGGGGAGTTCAGCTCATTTCACCGTTCACCGACGCCGCGTGACGCTTAAACACGGACAGCGCGCGGCGAACGCGAGGAAGCTCTCGCGCTCTCTCAAGCGCAAAAGAACGAATGCATACTGATGAATTTGAATCTACAGTGTCAGATCGGACCTGAGCGTTTTAATCGATGTCGGAGTTTTATCTCTGGATATAAGCCGAATCCTCCTCCTCCTCAGCTGAACGGAAAGACCTCATCAAAGGTACGATATTCACGCAGCGGCCTGGCGTGTTTCTAGTTAAAATGGATCTTTTTCAACAAATGATGGAGTGCGATCATTTTGCATCCGAGTCAGAGCTGAAAAGATGCTGATGATGCTGATGCAGAGGATTTTGCGCTCGTTTGGTCCAGTTAGACCTTAGATGTTGTCACTGCTTGTCATAATCAAGCGTTTAAAAAAATAAATAAATAAACAGTCGGTGACTATAAAGACGTGCATCACAGCTGTTGTAACTGAGCATCATTGGCATCATCTAAAGAAAGACACAGATTTGGCTGCCACATATATGGAATATTTCATTTTTGAGAAGAAACGTTACAGTTATTGTCATAGAGTCACGAGACTCTTTATCTATACGCATGTATGTCATCATATATATATGCATTATGCGTCTACATGCATCCTTGCCATGCGATGTCAGAATGACAATATGTGTCATTGTCCTACAAGATAGTTTAAACGTCAACATTTAGTATTCATACTACTGTAGCACTATGTAAATGAAGGCATTAAGAAATTATATTTGATTGTCAGGTTGCATCATGCATGACATTGGAATGATAAATATATCTAATATATGAATGAGCCAGTATTGACAAGGATACAGTGCACTTAATGTCCTATATCATTAGTGTGATGATTAACATTTATTGTATAGCCTATCCAATGACAGCAGATCATTGGCTTGAATTTGTGACACATTTGGATGCGATATCTTAGGTTTTCATGATCCGATGGAAGACAAATGCTTAAAGGGAAATGTATATAGGCAGATATGACCTTTCCATGCATGTCTTCATTTCCTCTGCGGGGCCTAGTGGTTCAAGGACTCTGATGTATATGAGTGACATTTGTGGATCCCGTGAGTCTGGATGTGTGCTTTTTGCTTGTATTTGAATGCAGAGCATGTTTTTTTTTTTGCTGTTGTTTGCTTATAATGTGTTCTTATGTGGGGATGTTGGTAGTGTGATTCTCTGCCACAGTGCATATATTTGCAGGCTGGTTTTCATTCGGTCACGCTACGCACATTGATTTTTCCACAAGCTGTAACTTTTTTTTTTTGTGGCATTATCCTAATAATACCTCTGTCATTTAAGCGACATGTTATGCTTTTCCTTTTTGCTGCCCTGGTTTGTTGAGAAATCGTAGTAACCTGTACAATAATAATATTATTAGTTTAAATTGGCACGTGTGCAGTGCACCATAGTCTTGTTGCACTATACTCAGACTTTTCAATATTGGATGCTCCTGGTTTCATGGTTTGGATTTAATGGAATAAAACATTATCATATTACGACAAGGATGCTGTTTTTGTCATGACATGATGTAGCAGTTGAAATATATAAAATCAAAAAAGAGCTAGCTATGAAAATAGTTCAAAAGCAGTTATTAATCTTAATGTTCATTTCAACATTTACTAATACATTATTAAAATCAAAAGTTGCATTTGCTAATATTAGTGAATGCTATGTATTTAAATAACATTATTAAAATACTTTAACAAATGCATTGCTCATTGTTCATGCAATAACTAACTTTAAGTAATGGGACCTTATTGTAAAGTGTTACCGATTGAAGAACAATATTTAAATCAAATAACAACCTAAATTTTGGTCTAAAGGGACCCTTTTTACATTTCCGGGGTTCACAAAAGCAGAAGTCGTCATAGTTGGGTAAATCTCTATAGATATAACTTCTATAAATTAACACAAATATATTTTTGTGTTCCTATTTGCTCCAACAGAAAATGAAAATAAAAACATGATTGTGCTTCTATGACTTGCCAAAAGAAGTAAAACATATCAAAAGATTATGTTGGTCAGAAGAGAGAAATGTGTCTTTATTTTAGAAACAAGCACATAGCAGCGGTAACCAGTTTTCTGTAATTTAATGGCGAGGTAATATAACTCATTGTGTTATAAATGTACATTAAAGGGGTCATATGATGCTGCTAAAAAGAACATTATTTTGTGTATTTGGTGTAATGAAATGTGTTTATGCGGTTTAAAGTT